TATCTACATGCATCGGGCTTATTCTGATAACCACATGGTTGCCAGTGCTTCCTTCCGGGTGTCAAGGATGGTGAGAACAAAGCCGGCCATGTGGGTGATGTTGACGCCAACACTGTTGTTGCCCTTGTGGTAGTCGGCGTGCCTACTACGATAGAATCGAGCATCTATTGTAGCGACAACATGCTACTTGGTTGTAAGATTCTGTGTTTGAGTTTTTGTATCCCATAGTTTCATTGCTCTTCTTGGCAGCTGCAAAATGCCCATGGCATTACCTATTGTAGTACATTAATTCCTGTAATTGGCATACAGTGGTTTTGCAGAACAGCACATTTCTCTGTGTCGCGCAATCTACGACCATGACGTACAAGGCTCCAGGGACTTAGGAATTAAAGGGCTTAGGGGTCCTGCTAAAGGCACTATAGGGTTCTATAATAGGGGGACCATTCGCGATTTTTTTTAGATCGCTCTTAGCTTCACGGGCTTTGCGACAGCAATGTACCTGTTCTTACACGAGCATGATTTCGTAGTTGCCGCAGCTATGGATTCAGGTTATGTTCCCCTACCCGCGTGAGTGTGTGCATATACAGCGTATATACATACACACCCATGTATGTGCATGCAACAGCTTCATTGTTGGTACATGATATTTCCGATTCGGACAGGGTTGGTAGAGTACCGTAAGAGATTGAGAAACGTGGTATTGAGTGTGATAGTCATCTACAGTCATCTGTGCAGGGCAAAGATGCGAATCGGCTTAAGCACTGCAGTAGATCAGCGATGTGGCACTACGCGGAGACCTGGAAAGCTCTACAGCCCAAGCAGTTGCCGAAAAACAGGCCACCGTCTTATCTATTCGATCTCCTCAGCGCGAGCCTATTAATATGTGGTCGATGCGCTTAACAGGCAACAATAGCAGGGGAATCTGGCAGGCTAGCACGGGACAAACTTGAGGAACGCCAGAAGTGCCACACCGCCACTGCCCTCCTACTCGGAGCAGAAGACTCTCATCGACCAAGTGGTCGGCGGGCAATGCCCAAGAACGATGGGTTGACTGCAAAGGGCTCTCTCTCTACAAGACCGGGCTGTTGTTTCAGGATTTCCGAGAACTTTTCGAAGGCCCCTTAGATAGTTTGCGCGTTTACGGATCTTCAGCCCAAGTCAACCTGGAGTTCTTCTTAGCCGGTGGTTTGCCGATATTGGTTTCGGGCCTCCCTGACTCATGGCTGTCTAACACTCCCATCCATCATGACCGTAACAACGGAAGCATGCCTCAAAATGCTCGTCACGTGAAACACACCTGTAGGCCCACAGCATCTCATCAAAAGTGCACGTGTTGTCAAGCTTCAGGAACTAATAGTCAAAGAAGCATTAAATAATAATTAAGCATTATAGTAACATGTATTCACGATGAACAATAAGCCTTCGCAGGCTGTTGGCCCTGACCAAAATAAGGAGGTTGCCAAGGAGGTTGCCATTCCTGGGGGTCCAACATCATCATGGAGTCACTGGCCCGCCTAAATGCCAAGCTACACTTGGCGCTACCCTAAGTCCAAATAGCTGTCAGAGGGACGAGTGGGACAAATCACTGGGTACTTTGCACTCTTAGGCCGTGAGGGCACCACAAAGCAGTTTCTCAAGAGCACTAGGTTTCAATTCGCCTAAGCCCTAAACCCTATAACCCTGTAAGCCCTAAACCCCTAAACCACTAAACCCTAAACCCTAAACACCTAAACCCTAAACAGCCTTGTCTCTGCGGACCCCTAGAGCCTGAGCATCCCAAAGCATTTGTTCCCGCCGTCTTGGTTTGAAGAGCGTATATTAGGGTTTAGGGTTTAGGGCCGTCTAGCCTGGGCCTAAACTATGAGCCGAGAAATCAACCCCTAAACGACCTAAACCCTTTGAAAACCCCTTTCAGGCCAAAAGGTAGACAAAGCGAGAGGACTGCCTCATCTGCCGACACGCTCATGTGAAGGAGTGCAGGGGTGAGTTGTTCGTAAAGGGGCCTTTTTTCCATAGAGAGTTTGTGGGTTAAAGATCGTTTTAAGTTTTCCTGATCGTTCAAGATTCAGGGGCCCTCATCGTGATAGGGTTAAAGATGTATGATGTATCCTTAAGGTTTCAGGGTCTAGGATTCAAGGTTATCACGTTGTGAAGGGTGTTTACGTCACGTCGGCCGAGATGTGTGAATAGTCGGTTTGCTGGTCCAATCGGCAAGACGCTCAGAAGCGGGCAGTAAAGAAGCCTGAATAAGTATCAACGTTCTTCCTGCCGTTTCCTCAGAATACATGAGCAATTTAACGCCCCACCCCAATAACTCTATTTGGCCCCTATGTCATGGCTTCGGGCAATCATGGTTCTTGAGAGAGACGCGACACGCGGCCACAAGGAGATGAGGGTGTTCAGAACTCTGAGTAACCTTTTCCAGCTCACACAGTCGACGTTTGAACTTGTTCGGATGCCGCTGAGGGTGTGGTAGCCTTCTGGTATATATATATATATATATAAATACATAAATAAATAAATAAATATATATATATATATATATATATCACTGGTTCTTCCCTGTATTTTGAGCTGTGGCTTTGTACACTTGCCTTGCAGATGGTTCCGGCTTCTCTTGTTCAACCCTGCCTGAACCGTGTGGAGCCCCACGGCGTCAGGGCTGTGTGGGTCTAAGCTTTGCAACCCTGAACCCGAAACATGAAGCCCTACCTATGAAACATGAAGCCCTACCTATTGTGTCCATTGTAGTTCCTTTTTTTGCTTTAACCAAATATCTAATTCGGATCCTATAAGGTAACTCTAAACAGGAACTACAATGGAGCCTACAGGTAGACCGCAAGCCTTAAGGTTGGGAGATCAGTTGCTGAATGGTGACCTGGTCGACGAGGTTCGCGTGCTCGATTACGCACACGGAGTGTAAACGTCTGGCTGTCATGTCTCATGACTCTATTGCGTTTTTGTCCAGGTCATGTACCGTACCTGTACATACTTCGATTTTGGTCAATTAAGCGCTCAGCACGGTGGTTCTCATATGCAAACACATCCGGCAGTGCAAACCCTAAACCACTACCCTAAACCCTGCACAGTCTTGGAAAGAGTTAGGACCCTCTGTCGCGCAAACTCCGGAGCCAGCCAAAACTTTCAAGACTTCTTACCAGAAGTGAGAGCGACTCCGTACAATAGGGGCCTTGAGAATTACCTACACTATTTTCGGGGTTCCTGATTATACTCATTCAGGCCCCTATATTACGATGGAACGACGCTTCTCGCATCAGCCAGGGATGGAGTGATCTCGCAGAATTTGCGCGAAGCAGCGTGTGCTTCGTCGCCGATGTGCCTCACGCCGCCGTGCAGCAGTGGATGTGTGAGGGTATCAGCCCCCTGAAATTTTCCAAAAGGCTTCAACAGTTTGTGTTATTGGTCTGAGGCCAGGAGGATTGCTTTGCATGCTTAAGTAATTACACGCATATTTCGCAGTTGCCATACATTCCGAAAAAAGCCTCGCCTGAATTCAGTATCGCTGGTAGTGCAAGACCAGGATTTGCGATGTTGGAGAACATTTTGGTACGCAGCAAGGGGCGGCAACTGTTCAGCGACTTCTTCTTGATTCCCTTTTGCCCGCCACAGACGTTGGGTCGAGAAACCGGGTCCTGTATCTACAATCCCCTGGCCCGAGAGAAAGATCCGTTCAGTCCTTTGTCATAGTCGGGTAACATTTTACCTTTTTATGGGTACTTGAACCCAATAAGGAATAAACATGTACATGTTTATTCCTATCCCAACAATGAATCAGAGTAGGCCTGGCTGCTTCCACACTGCAGCTGCTTGGTTCACCACGGTGGTGCGGGCACAGTGTGCCTCGATCGCAAGTCGCGACACGCCAGGGTGTGGTGTTTGCATAACTGCTGCGGCATCAACGCACTCAAGTAGCTCCGTGAGACTTCCCTGGGCTCCAGGTTATTTCAGGATAAAAAGCCAGCACTTGACGGCTGCCTGCCCCCTGACACATTGAAAAAGAAAAGATGACCCCCATCAACGAAGCAGGGGGAGCATGTCATCGGTCATCCGAGGCAGACGGCCCTGCGTGCAGGAGTTCCGCAAGCTGCTGAGTTGTGACACCGTTTTTTGAAGTTGTCTAATAAATAGACTTCAAGCATTCTATAGGGATCCCAGGGGGCTTGAGCTTCGACATCGTGACGAACCCCAAACTTGTCTTGGCGACCCAAAGTGGTGCAGCAAAGATGTCATCTACCCTGCCTGTAGTCTCCAGTATAGTTCCTTTTTGGGGTTACCTTATCGGTTCCGAGTTATATATTCGGTTATAAAAAAGGAACTACTATGGTTATCTATGGTTCCTCTTAAACCCAAAACCCTAGGCAAAAAAAACCCTAAACCCTGACTCCCTGCAATGCGGGCTTCGTCCTTGCTAGGTAGGAAGGAAAAACCCTCGTGATTTGCCATGACAAGGTCGGTGGTGACGTGCCGGGCTCAGATCTGGTTTCATCTCAACAGCTCTTTCGCGTGTGTTGCTTGTTATTTGTCCTTACGGTTTAGGGTTTAGGGTTGTTGTTGCCTTGGTACTTCCAGGGAGCAGAGCACGGATATGCAAAGAATTTCGAGTGGACATGCCCTTCCCCTAAGATTGTTTCGGCTTTACTTCGGCATCGAGTGTTACTGTTACTGCGGGCCTCGAAGCTGTTCCTTCTAGGTGCAGTCGCTTGAGTGCAGATCATCCCCGAAGGTATCGTTCAAGCCGAAGGTTCGGGGACAGTGCTTGTGTTTCGGCTCCTGGACCCTCAAAGTATGTAGAATCATAGCCTTTTATAGGTTTTGGGCCATTATTTTACCTACTTTTGGGGGGTCTAGGTAAGGGTTTTCTTAGTGCAGAGACCGGCGAGGCAGAGCTCAAGGCCCAAGTCTTGCCTGGTGACTGCTTCTTAAATCGGAGTAGCTCCATGCTCGGACGTCCGACGGATGACGACGATTCCTCCGAGGACATGGATGAGCTTTTCTGCAATATCGTTGCAATGATGCAGCCAACCTCACCCGAGATTCTCCGGGCCACGCCGGCATTTGAGACTTTGCGCTGCCTGGCCCGGCCTCTACGCAGTCGAGACGGCGACTTCTTCGGACGGAGCCAGGTGACTACGAGCATTGGTTCATTTTGGTCCCATAGTTGGCACGGGTCGACATGGCAAAAGATCGCCTTCGTTTTCTTTTTGAACAATGGTCCTGCAGCTGCAGCTGTAGGCTCGGCTTCGGCTGTTCTGGGAGGGGTGCTCTATTGCTACAGGATCTTGCCCAGCATTTTTGGGCACCTGGGGTGGTGCTCGATCTTTGCCACATTCACGTATATCTTCACCTTGCTTTTCTGGCGAAGTCGGCAACTGGTTTTCCTCGACAGGATCTGCATCTCAGATGACGAACAGCTCAAAGCAGAGGCGATGCTCAGTCTGGGTGCTTTCTTAAGACACTCTGACGCTATGCTCGTCCTGTGGGATCCAACATTCATGGACCGTTTGTGGTGCATTCTAGAACTGGCCGCCTTCTTGCACAGTCGGAAAGCAGGCTCCAAGATCAGGCTTGACATCCGCCCTACGCTGTTAGGCCCCTTACTTCAAATTACCGTCTTTTCTCTGATCCTCTTTAACGCTGTAACCACGTTTGCTTGGGTCCTCATAGATGGCTTCTGGTACTTTTGGCTGGTCGTTCTGCTGCTGTCAAGTGTGAACTTCTGGCTCACAGCTCACATGGGTCGTGATTACTGCCGAACTATAGAGAAAGTGCGAGACGATATTGCAGCGTTCAGTGTTGACAAGTTGGTGAGTTGGTGTTGTTGCGTGGGGCACAAAGATCCAGCATCTGGATTGCCAGTGGCATGTGACAGGAAGATCATCTTGCAATGCATGCACCTCGGCTTTGGAGTACCATGCTTTAATACTTTTTTGCTTAAAGGAACCATTATGAATTAAAAGTTTATACTGTTTTCTCCCTGGTTACTTAAACAGCCCAGGCAAATATGGTTTGGCACCATGGAAGCCTTCGAGCGTCGAGTACGGTCAGATGTCCTGGGAATCCTTGTGGATCAGCTCTCCAATCAGGTCATTTCTTACCGGCAGCTGGTAACCGTCACGGTGCCCATATTCTGGGGATACCTGGATGTTGTCTTTGACCGCTTCAGGGCTGGTGACTATGCGGCGGGCATGCACAGCCTGATGCGTGGATTGACATACAGCTTTGCTATGTCTCCGTCCCTGATACTACTGCTTTTCCGGCTGGCGTACTATTTGCGGAGGCAGCGCAGCCTGTACCTGCTGGAGTTGCTCACGTCTGCGCTTGTCATTCTTTGTGGTCTTTGTCTTTTCGTGTGCTTTGTCGCGTGGGATTTGTCAACTTTCACAGTGTTGCAGCCGGAGGCTCCAATCGTAGCCGGGTTGCTCTTTTGTGTGCCCACAGTGGCTGTGGCACTGGTGGTGTGGATAGTCGTGCCCAAGATCAAACTTCTCTAGGTCTTTGCACGAGGACGACTGAGTCGTTCCCTCATTTGTTAGCGATGTGACGTGCCGTTGCATGCATCAGGCTGAGATATGGCATGCTTCTTCATGTAAATTTGCTGCGCATTTGGTTGCAGAGTTCGTTGATGCATGATGCCTCGTCGACATATTCTGTGTTGCCAGCACATACGCATAGTGCCGGATCCCACAGTTGCAAGCAGCTGTGTGACCTATTCTCAACTTGCAACCCGCGACACGTGCACTCCTTCAAGGCCCGCTCCAAGCGAAATCCGCAGTGCAAGACCATTAGTTTCCTGAACTTTTAGCCGCATGTACGTCTGTTGTTGATTGAATACTGCATGATTTAGAATAGTATACTACAGTGTAAGACAAAATAGATCATCATAACGTTCTAATAAACATAGGAGTGCGATGCCTTGTAATTTTGGATTTCGATGCCTTGTGCTTTTGACTCGGCCTCTGAGTGTTTTGTCGCGCAGCCAGTTTTCAACGTTCTGCGCTAGACTACCTCAGAGACGAAGTACAAAGAGCCTAAAGAGCCGAGCCTGCTGTTGCTTGCGAAAAGTCGATCTCGGGTTACCTATAGTCTCCATTGTGGTTCCTTCTTTGGGTTTAACCAAAGAGTATATAGTTCGGATCCTATAAGATAACCCCAACAAGGAACTACAATGAATACTACAGGTATGATGCACTGACTGCAACAGGGGCGCGAGCCTTGTCGGAGGGGTGAGATCCTGCAGCTGCAGGGCCTTCCTCCTAAACCCCATACTATAGGGGCCTTAATTGTTGGAATAGGGGTTTTTGGGGATTCCCTGTTATAATCATAGTATAGCGGGCCCCAAAATCCAGTTCTACTTAATAAGGCCGCCATAGTTCCCCTGCAAGGCCAATCTTTGTCGATCAGTTCGACAACGCTCGAGCAGTGTCCAGACTTCGTGCCGGCGTTGGCTTCGAGGAAAATTTGTCGAAGGTGGGGCTCGGAAAGCAGGCTTCTCATGGCTTCTCACTTGTTCAACAGTATAGGGGGACGTGCGTTGCCTCACTCGGCATGCCGGAGCTGTGTTTTTCCGAAGACCCTGACTTCTCGACCTCGCGAAAAGCTACTGAGTCGGTAGGCACTTGGAGGTTCATGGGTAGTTATAAGTGGGATTATAAGTAGGGTAGCTATACTTATAGCCCAGATTAGGGGACTTGATACGCCCATTTAGAACTACCCATGAGCCTCCAAGAACTCCTCAGCCCCCAAAGCTTTGAAGAGTAACCTGAAGGCCGCTAAAACCCTTTGCTGAGACTAGATTGTATTCTATCTTTGCATCTGATACTGTATTATAATGGCTACAAGTAGTATCTGATGTTATGTCATAGTTACAGTATATGATCGAATTTTCTGAGGTGTATATGTTTATGCGTACATACATGCATACACACATACATACCTACATGCATATATACATACCTACATGCATATGTACATAATACATGCATAGATCCACACACACACACACACTTGAGTTGGAGTCAAGTTGACATGGAAATCGCGAAATTCACATCACAACGCCAATCGATGGTTCATGGAATCACTGACGTGGTAATCTCAATCGATGGTTCACGGAATCACTGACGTCGCAATCTCAGTCGATGGTTCACGGACTAACATGACCTTGCAATCTCATAAACATGCGCAGGTACGTAGGAGTGGCGTCCCACTCCTATGTCACAGGTCAGGATGGGTGTCTTCGTTGGCACCTGCCCCATCCTTCCCCCAGGTGCCCCCTGCGGAGAAGCCTTTTCTTTGTGATTAATTCGACAATACGCAACACGACGACGATCGGCTTGAACGAGCGATTTCAACAGCATCAATAACATCAAACAACACTTTGCGAGCAAGTCCATGTAGTACCCTTCGCACCAGGGCATGCAACACACAAAAGCTACGCGAGCCGGCACATGTTCTCATTCATGCATGCTGGAGATCATCGCGAGTGAAACCGAAACACATGTACATGTCAGTTAACTCCTTCAACTGTCTTCTAACCACACTCTTCGGAAAAGCCTGCCGTTTGATGAGGCATGACCGCGATCGAAAGCCTGCCAAGTTCAACCTCCGAGATCCTGCACTGTTGATCGGTCGATACTGCCAGCTTTCATTCGGAATACGAAACTCCACTGTCCCAGCTTCAATATCCACCATGCATCCCAACAAATCACCAGCATCGCATGCCTCGAGGATGACGGGATCACGATAGAACATCGGACTCACCAGAGACTGGAATGCAGGACTTTGCAGGAAACCCCTTGGAAACACCAGGAAACGGTTGTCCACATACCTCCCAAACCAACACATGGCCTTCCAGGAGTGTTTTGCAACATCAAAGCTTGCAGCCCACATCGCTTCCTCAACACTCACGGTCAAATCGCACAGTGCAGGGCTTATTTGATTCCCAATAGGGGAACCTCGTATTTGCCGGAAACATCGGCCCATGATGGTGAATTTGGCGAAAAGGAAAGAGAGTGCCACAAGCTGTTTCACGTCTCCTGCAGAAATCTGCCGCATCACCGCACTCCGAAACACTCGTGCCTTGCCTCGCAAGACTCGGCCTTCTGAGAATTTTTGTTGATCATGCACCGTGAACATGAAAGCATCCGGATGATTGCACGCTCGGTTCTGGAAATACTGCAAAAAGACAAGCTCTACTGCCTGCTGGATGCGTTCCACTGGTAACGAGTTGAAAAACCCAACCAAATCGTCACAAACCACTTCGAACTCAGTGACATCACGCCATGGAATGACAACTTCTCGCAGGTACCCATGCAAGCTTGGCCACAACCTGCTCAAACTCAGTCGCGCAAAGGTTTCTGGAAAAACCTCTTTTGTGACTTCACATAGAACAAGTGATGCAACCTTCAATGCTGGTGCCAACATCGACATGCGATACGAGATGATGCTCCTAGCCGACTGGTAGTCCTTTTTCTTCTTCAAGAAAACAAATGCATGAGGAATCGGTGCCGTCAACCTGAAACCCCATGGATGTCTTCGCAACAAGCTGGCAGGAATCTGCTTTGCATCGGTCTGACGATAAACTTGCGGAAGGAAGGGAAGCTCTTCATACACATCGGTATCTTCGAACGTGGCAAGCACCCCTTTCCGAAACAAATCCGGGCAATACACCATGACCTGTTCGTACGCATGATCGCGACTGTGACATACAAGACGATGGAGATGTTGTTTCACTCGGCACACATCTTTAAATGTAAAACGATGAGACACAGCTCTCAAATGCATTGGCCATTGCTCCTCAACGAAGCTTTCCCAATCATGAACGACTTGATGAACCGGGAATCTGTGAATGCGTGCCCATTTCTGTACCAGCTTGCGCGTCATGCCAAGGAACACATGTTTGCTGGGAAACACCATGGTTTTGGCCGAATATCCGACCAACTTCTTCAAATGTGATGACATGGACAATCGCTCAGCCGGAGATGCAACATGCCCGCCAACGGTCTGCAGTTCTGGATGCTGGCTCAAGACCTCTTTGCACTTGCAAAACGATTCCCCAGGAGACGACTGGAACCTTTTGAACCACTCTTTGAAGGAGAACAACATCTTGCCCACGCATTGATGACTTCCTTCCACCACCGTCTTGGATGGCAAATGGAATGGCAGCAACACATTCTGAAACTTGTGCCTTACATCCCTCAACCACGCGACGACAAATGCCGGGAACTTTGAATGCGCAAGAAACGGCACAACCAGAGGTTGATTTCTTCTGGGAACATCCTGACGCCGAAACTGCAGAACCTTTGCCAAACGACCACGCGCTCTGGACCTGAATGGCTCTTCCAAGTTGGCCGCGAGCTTATACAGCGCATACACATGATCATCATGCCATCGTGCAGAACCCAAACTACACTGCATGTTCCATGCTCGACCGTCTTGTGTTGTGAGATCATGAAGAACCATCCACGCATCTTCACGATTCAACGTCGGCTTTGCCGGCTTACTCCGAAAATGTTGATGCACATACCTCGCGCGCCTCCGCAGCTTCAGAAACAACCTCCTTCCAGTCCGCCGTGCCACGAAATCATGCTTCTTCATAAGCGGTGTCTCTTTCACACCACGGCTCTGAAAAATGAGCTTGTTAGTTTGCGGATAGTTCAACCCCGGCCTCCACATCTGCAAAAAGACGTTCTCGCACACACGGGCACTTACCGCACATGAACATGGGAAAAGGGCCACCGACACATATTCAAAGAATGACTTCCGATGAAACCAGTACCGCACGGACGGCTCGGCCTGAACTGTAGCGGTGGCAAACAACTGCTTGAACTTGCGATACCGGTCCGCATCACGACGAGCAAGCGTAATGGTGGTAGACCCAACATAGAACATGGAATGTTTTACAGCTTTCGAAGAATGCGAGGTAGAAGACACCAATCCCTTCCGTGTCACCGCCAACATCGGAATGCGAACATACACGACATGCGGCTGAGAAAAAGCGCTTCCTCGATATGCCTCGGGAGACACTCCACATTGTCGAAACCTGTCTTTCCAAAGCTCTAGCTGACGAACGATCTTTTTTGACCGAAACAGCAGCACCAAGAACAACATCCCAGCGAAAAACAACCCAAAACTCGCCAGGGTTGATGAGCCGAATGCTGGAGCATACCTCAAGAATTTGAGCATTGCATACCACTGCGCTTTGAAGCGCTCAAAATCAGCTGCATCACACGTGAGAGCTCACTTTGCCATGTGGTGTGCCGCAACGATCACTCGAACCAGATCCTTGTTCGACATACCCACGGACAACTGTACCGGGAGGCCCCACGCGGAAGCAATCTCCTTGAGAGATCCGATTTTGTCATCCGACCATGTTTTGACCAATGGCTCAATGGCTTTGTAATCCACTAAAGCTTGGGACTGAACTTCACGAGGAAGCTTCTTCAACCACGAGGTTACGGAGGATGTTCCAGCTTTTGGTGGGCAGTCAGCCCGC